CTTCACCTTTCTTCTGTAAAGAAATTATTTTTTTTCTCAGGCCTTCTGACATTTCTCTTCCTTGTGGTGCCATTGCTGACAGCATGAGATAGGAAGGGGTTTTCTTTAATGCCCTTTTATAAGCAACTGTCTGCTGGACACCTGTTTGAATAATTAGACTCACCTGTAGTTGAATTCTTGTTAATTAGGATTTTGTTGTACAAAATTTAGCTTTGCTCCGAAGACTTTCATTGGGGTGAATTCATTTTTGCAACATGTTCTTGAATGAATTGGGATAAAAAAAATTTGTGCGCAAATTAACAAAACCAATGGTCCACATTTGTGGGAGTATTTTGTAGTATAGTGTCCCATAGATTCTGCAGGGAAAGTAAAGGTTTTCTGACAAATCTGTTGGGGTGTACTCACGTGTACCCATTTATGCTGTGCAGTGTGTGTGTATGTGTGTAAAAAAAAAAATATATATATATATATATTTTAATGACTTTTTGGTTGACTTTGGTATGAATCATGATACTGTAATGATAGGAGAGAAACCTAAAATATCATCTAATGCTTTTTGCAAAAAAAAATAAACTGGCAAGAAAGCCTAATAGGCCTAAAAAGAAAAAAAAAAAACAGAAAACGGGACAACCTGCTAATAAAGAGCTAGCTGAAGGACCTAGTGCTTGAAGCATCAGATTTGGCCTGCATACTGGCCTGGTAGAACAAGAAAACAAAAACAGAACAACAGGTAGTAGCCTTGCAAATTTGGAAAATGTATTTATGGCAGTTAATGAGCAGAGTGGAACAAAATATGGAGCGACCAATAAATATAAGCGATATGGGGGGTGCACCAGGGTAGTATAAATATAAAAATATTGTTGGAGGTGTTTGTTTTTGTTTTTTTATCTATCAGGTTCCATTATGGAATTCTTGGGGATTTTTTTTTTATATTTTTGTGGGGAGGTTAAGGGATTGTTAAAGATGTGTATAATGTAAATAAGCTGTCGATCTCAGCAGTCATTCCCCCCCCCCCCCCCCCAAAAGGGGGATCGTGTGTGGATAGAGCGGGTGGGGGGAAATAACTGAAACTTTTGTGGCTCTCACTGCAGTAGCTGAAAGCCAACATTTCCTGCTCAAGCTACTGAAATGAGAGCCACAAAAAAAAAAGATTGGTTCTAGTTATTTCCCCCACCCGCTGCACTTATCCAGATTTCTCTCACTGTCTGCACCCCCCCACAGCACTGCCACGTGATAGCCATGTTTAAACTTTGGGGACCCAATGATCTCTTTATGCCCTAGGGCCCATGAGTTGTCAGCCCCCCCCCCGCTCTTCCCATCAGTAGTGTCCTAGAGAAATAGTATCTAGAAGCGATTCAGAAAATGTTGTTCCTTAGAGACGATGCAGAACAAATGCTTTTTCAAGAATTTCACAATCCAGCACCTTAGCTGTGTGATGGCAAAACAAGGATACTTTTAGCAGACAGTCACAGTGGTAATTATAAATTACAACTATTTGTCAATGACACTTCATGGTTCAACAAGGTACAATCTGACCACCACAATATGTTCAGCAGAGCACTGGTTAAAGCTTGTTGGGAGGAGGTTTCATTTTCCCCTGATTGTCCTATGAGGCTGCATAAACTCTGACCCTCTGTCGGGCCAGCTTTGATTGGCCCTGTGTTGATTACATGCACTCTCCCAAGAAAAAAAAACTAGCTTTACACACCAAACTGAGCATGTGCAGCTTGCCCCCAAGGCTCTGTTCTATCAGCAGATGGATTGGGGATAGTAGAAGGGGAGGATCAGAGAAGACAGGACCAAACATCCTTTTTAGGCAATGTGGAGGATTAATCACTTAGGTTCTTCAATGAGTATAACAAGCATTCTTTACTGCATATACGGGCTGATTTTACTGTTGTGGGTTTAGTAGCACTTTAAAATATTAGAAGGTGTATGTCCCTCATGGTTTAGATAAAAAAAAAAAGTATATTTTGGCAAAAAAAATAAGCATTCAGGTCTGTAATGCTGCTCAATATTTACAATTTTCATTTAAATATTTTATAAATAATCTTTGCTGGGAAACGAAGGAGTGGAAAGATAAGAATTCGGTCTGGGATATGAAGCCTTGGAAAATTAGTCCTAAAACTTGGACTGATAATAATAGATACTTTATTTCTGGGCAATATGATAGATAACAATATAAACAACACAGATACTTTGTTAATATATGATGTGCATAGTAATAATAAAAACTGAACTTGGGGTGGGAGGTTTTATACCCACATACACCAAATCTGTGGGAAATAGACTTCAAACATGCAAGAATTCCTCTCTGTCATCTGTAAGGCCATGTGTTTAACTCCATTGAACTTGCTTATTTAATAAGACAAATACTTTTCCCCATGCTTATGTAGTAACAACTTAACAGCTCCTAGGAAAAGAATTTTCAGTCAGTAAAAGGGGCTTTGTGGAAGCAAAGGACAGGGCCAAGATTAGAAAGATAGTTTTAATGCTGGGACATAAAATAAACAGTTTAAATGCTCTGCTTATACTTTGACAAGCATGTTTGTGGCTAGGGGATCAAAGGCTGCTGCGCTAACAACTACATACATAGTTTAGTCTCTATGATAGAAGTGTAAATCTTGATTTGCACTTTGTTTTTGTCTTGTTACTTTTCACTATAGATAACACATTATTTAAATTGAAGGTGTATTCGCACTTTGGTATCCTTTATAATAAAAAAGAAATTCAGACAGTTGGATGTGTGTCTTTGAGAGTAGCTAAGGCTTGCTTGTTGATATGGTTGCCTGCTTTGGTTGTATGGGCATAAGGCTTGTGGTTTTAAGGAGCAACTCCAGGCAGCATGAACAACCGTCTGCAATCTCCTAATGCCATCTAGGAAGCAATGGTACAGACTGAAAGACCACTCAATTTATCACAATGCAAAGGCTTTTTTCACAACCGGATTTCACACAGTTCAGCCGCACTATCTTTACACTTGATTCCCTACTTTCCAACCTCCGGATTTAAAAACTACAGAATAGAGTGATCAGAACCATGGAATGCACTGTTCTGTTAAAGGCTTGATCTACAGTACTCAGTAAAAAGTCTTAGGCAGGTGTGAAAAAATGCTGTAACTGAAGAATGCTTCCAGAAATAGAAGTGTTAAGTTTTTTTTTTCTTTACTGAAAAATGTAAAGTAAATGAACAGAATAGAAATCCAAATCAAAACAGTATTTGGTGTGACCGCCCTTTTGCCTTCAAAACTGCATCAATTCTTCGAGGTACACTTGCACTTACACTTGGTAATTTGTTTGAAACATCTTGGAGAACTATCCACAGATCTTCTGTGGATGTAGGCTGCCTCATCTTTTGGTCTCCATATAATCTCAGACAGACTCAATGATGTTGAAATCTTGAGATCAGGGCTCTGTGGGGGCCAAATCATGACTTCCAGGGCTCCTTGTTCTTAATGCTGAAGATTGTTTTTAATGGCATTGGCTGTATGCTTGGGGTTGTAGTCCTGCTGCAGATAAAATTTGGAGCCAATTACACACCTCCTGGATAGTATGGCATGATGGATACGTATCTGCCTGTGTTTCTCTGATTGAGGACACCATTGATCCTGACCAAATCTCCAGCTCCATTTGCAGAAATACAGCCCCAAACTTGCAAAGAACTCTTCAGTTCAGAGTACCTGCTGCCTTTTTTGTGCACCCCTATGTTTTGGTGCATAGGACATGGAGACAAGGCTAAGCAACTTGGCATGAAAACATTTTGTTAATTAATAAAAATAAACTATTAGCAGTTCTATTTCTTAAAGCATTCTTTATTTACAGCATTTTTTCACACCTGCCTAAGACTTTTGCACAGTACTGTAGATATTGCTCCGGATTTAGTAAGCAGAGTAGACAGCTGTAAAAGATGAAAAGGAAGAGTCATTTTTGTTACCTTATGAGTTGAACAGCCAAATTTTAATTGAAAATGTATCTTAACCGCTTTCCGTCCACCCTGTAGCAGACCCATGTGTGTGTGTGTGTGTGTGTGTGTGTGTGTGTTGTGTGTATATAATATATATGATTTTGCATCTCCAGGTAGGCGCCATGCACGGGCGTGGCTGTCAATCAACGGGTCCCGGCTGGTAATTACTTGCCAGAGCCGGGTGATTTCTGAAGATCTCCAATGGGGAGGAGCACTGTTTTGTTTACTAACAGTTCTCCCTGTCAGCTCAGGCTCACTGCTCTGGATGGCTGTGCACAGCCATCCAGAGCAGTGTGACTACAGTAAAGCACACTGACACAGCCCCCTAGTAAAACACTCCCAGCACACAGTTAACCCTTTGATCGCCCCTCATGTAACCCCCTTCATGCTCAGTGCCATTATTTTTTTTTTTTTTTTTTAAGCACTGATCACTGTATTGGTGTCACTGGGGATGTCAATGACACCAAATCAGTTCCCCCCAGTGTCAGAATGTCTGCTGGAGTCCCGCTACAAGTTGATATTCGCCGCCATTACTAGTAAATTAAAAAAAATTCCAGTATATAAACTGCCATTTGTAAAAACTATAACTTTCACGTAAACCAATTAATTTACACGTATTGGTTTTTTTTTTTTTGTTTTTTTTGTTTTGCTTTTTTTTAGCAAAGACATTTTGGCCTAAACAACAACAGAATACATTTTGGCCTAAATTTATGATGAAATTTGATTTTTTTTTTTTTTTTTTTTATTACTGGACATGTTTAACCACTAGTCTACAGGGCACTTATACCCCCTCCTGCCCAGGCCAATTTCCAGCTTTCAGCACTGTCACACTTTGACAATTGCGCGCGTCATGCAACACTGTACCCATATGAAATGTTTATCATTTTTTTGAGACAGAGCTTTATTTTGGTGGTATTTATTCAGCTCTGGGTTTTTTATTTTTTCTTAAACAAACCAAAAACCTGAACATTATGAAAAAAAAATGTTTTTTCTTAGTTTTTGTTATAAAATTTTGTAAATAAGTCATTTTTCTCCTTCACTGATGTGCGAAAATGAGGCTGCAGTGATGGGCACTGATAGGCTGCACTGATGGACACTGGTAGGTGGCACTGATGGGCATTGACAAGCATCACTGATGGGCACTGATAGGCGGCACTGATAGGCGGCACTGACTGGGACTGATGGGTGACACTGAAAGGCAGCTCAGATGGGCACTGATATGTGGCATTGATGTGCCACTGATGAGCACTGACAGGTGGCACTGCTGGGGCTACACAAATCATCAGGGCACACTGATCATCTGTGCCCTGATGATCAGTGTACATGTCCCCTCCACGGAATGCCGATTTCCGGTTCTCCTCTCCTCTTGAGCTGTCAGCGTGACAGCTCGTGAGGAGAGAAACTAGCATTTCCCTATTTACATGTGATCAGCTGTGATTGGACATGACTGAACCAACATCTTCGGTTCTTTCCGTTGATCAGTGATCCCCTGTGTCCGAGGAACACAGCGCACCGCCGATCGCCACGCTGCACGCTCCCGGTTACACGCATACGCGGTCAGAATGGGACGACGTCATATGACATCCTCCCAGAATGAGAGAACCACCTTGCGCCCATCATTGTACTATATGGCGGGTGGGAGGTGGTTAATAGCAAAAGTCAAAAATATTTTTTTTCTCAAAATTGTCCGTCTTTGTTTTGTTTATAGCGCAAAAAATAAAAACCGCAAATACCACCGAAAGAAAGCTTGATTCATGGAAAAAAAAAGACTTAAATTTCATTTGGGTGCAGAGATGCATGACTGCGCAATTGTCAGTTAAAGTAACGCAGCGCCGTAACACAGAAAATGGCCTGGTCAGGAAGGGGAGTAAATCCTCAAGTGGGCAATGGTTAACCACTTGCACTCCTGAGGATTTACCCCCCTTAATGACCAGGCCTTTTTTTGCTGTTTGGCGCTGCACTAATTCAACTGATAATTGCGAGGTCATGCAATGCTGTACCCAAACAAAATTTAAGTCCTTTTTTTCACACAAATAGAGCTTTCTTTTGTTGGTATTTTATCACCTGTGCGCTTTTTATTTTTTGCGCTCTAAACAAAAAAAAAACGAAAATTTTGAAAAAAAAACAATATTTTCTACTTTCAGCTATAAAAAAATTATCGTAAACTCAAAGTTAGTCATAAATTTAAGTAAAAAATGTTTTCTGCTACATGTTTTTGGTAAAAAAAAAATTCGAATAAGTGCATATTGATTGCTTTGTGTGAAAGTTATAGCGTCTACAAACTATGGTATAGATACTGTAATTTTTTGCTATACAGCACTGCACTAGTTTAACTGACAATTCCGCGGTCATGCAATGCTGTACGTAAATGAAATTTACGTCCTTTTTTTCACACAAATAGAGCTTTCTTTTGGTGGTATTTTATCACTTGTGCACTTTTTATTTTTTGCGCTATAAACAAACCAGCAAATTTTGAAAAAAAAAAAAACGATATTTTCTACTTTCGGCTATAAAAAATATACCATAAACTCAGTTATTCATAAATTTAGGCCAAAATGTATTCTGCTACATGTTTTTGGTAAAAAAAATCCCAATAAGTGTATATTGATTGCTTTGTGCGAAAGTTATAGTGTTTACAAACTATGGTATAGATACTGGAATTTATGCCATTTTTTTTTGCTATACAGCCATTTTGGCCACTAAATTTATAGGTACCTAGTGCGACTCATGGGAAAAAGAGCGCCTGGCTGTCAGGGACTGCTTGAACCGCTACAAAAAATTTACCAACAAGTGCTAACAGATCAGGCCTGATTCTGTGAACACTGCGGTTTTGTGTGTAATGTATCAAGTGACAGTTATCTACTGACACTGCACTTGCTGGGGGAGAAGGGGGGGGCGTAGGGGCTAAACGCAGGTGCTGGCAGGTGTCGGTGACGCTGCGTTTTTGGGGATACTGTAGTAATGTGAACACTGGTATAGCACTGATCTGATCAAAGATATTGATCCAATCAGACGCTATACTAGCAATTGAGGTTTAGCTTGCAAGTGAGTGTGTTCTGGCAATCAAGGGGTCAAATGTGATTACTTGTGTACTAGCGGCAATCTGACGCTATCTGGGAGGGGAGCTAACTGACGCTATCAGAAGTCGCCAGTGACACTAATACAGTGATCAGTAAAAATCGGTTCACTGTAATCAATGACACTGGTGACAGGGCAGTGAAGGGGTTAACTGGGGGGGGGGGGCGATCAAGGGGTTAAATGGGATTACTGGTGTACTAGCGGGCAAACTGGAACTATCTGGGAGGGGCGCTTACTGACGCTAACACTATTGGAAGTCGTCAGTGACACCAATACAGTGATCAGTAAAAATCTGTTCACTGTAATCAATGACACTGGTGACAGGGCAGTGAAGGGGTTAACTTGGGGGGGGGGGGCGCGATCAGGGGGTTAAATGTTACCTAGGTGTGTTCTAACTGTAAATGTGTAGTGTTTAACTCAATTTTACTGTGTCTTCTTCTCTGGGACGTAATGTGCCCAGGCAGAGAAGAATGACATCATATCCTGTCCTGTGTAACTGTCAACATAGGACAGGGACCGATCATCTGATTTCAGCTGGACATCACTGGCTGAAACTGAATGATTGATCCCTCGGGGATCAAATGGTGACAGCCGCGGGTCAGCTGGGGTACGCGTGCGCCCCCCTGCCCGCGAAAACCTCGGGAGTGCAGAGCACGTTTAAAAACGTGATTTTGCGCAGCTGTGCCGCCCTGCCACTGTTTTAATGCAGTGGCTGAGCGGCAAGAGGTTAAAGTGCACCTGTCAGTAACTTTCAAAGTCATGATTCATCTGCATGTTTCTGGCAGAGGGAAGCGCTTTAAGTGTGCTCCCCTCAGTCATTACTCACTGAGAATGTTGCATCTTTTTGTCAGGCAACTCACAAATGAGAAGGCAGCGGCTTTTTAGTTGGTTTGGACACACACAAGAAACAACATAATAGCTACCCTGCAGGCAGGTCATTCCATCTACCCTGAGTGGTGCTGGTCCTCTGGAAGAAATGGAAGCTGAATGCATTTTAGGAGAAGTTCTGTGATTGGTGGGAGAGGTTTTAAAACCTACTATACAATACATATACAAAAAAAAGAAATATTTTTTCATGTTTGATGCACTTTAACCTGCCTGTACTTGCATTGTTGCACAGTTAAAACAAATTGAACTTTGTATGGAAATATAACAGATGGAGGAAGCACAACTTGCTGTGCCACCTGCCCGCCACTGCACAATGATGGAGCATCCTCACACAGCTGATTCATTGTGCAGTAAACAGCTGAGTAACAGAGGAAGCTACAATCCTATAAGATGAAGTGCTGGGACCTGGTTGGTAATCCAAGACTAGCTGAACAGAATCAATTGTTTTTTTCAAGTAGGCAATTCACATACCATATTTTTTGCTCCATAAGACGCTCTTTTTTCCCCCAAAAAAAGGGGGGGGGATGTCAGTGCGTCTTATGGAGCGAATATAGAGTGGCCTGTCCGGTATTTCCACCGCCGACACCGTGCCAGAATACCAGGCCGGCCACTCAGCTGTTCTCTGCAGCAGGACCTTACCGGTTCCTCGGTCCACGCTGTAGTCTTCCCGCGCCGGCATCTTTAGTGTGGGCACCCGGCTGTGACAGCGCATGTACGAGAAGTGCTGCCCTGTGTGAATGGCCCGGCGTCTTCTGGGATCGGTCTTGTGTCCCAGAAGAATCCGGGCCATTCACATAGCGCAGCACTTTTCGGGCATGCGCAGTGGGCACCCAGCTGTGACACCCGGGTGCCCACACTAAAGGGAGGACAACTCAGCGGAAGTGGGAGCGGGTACCTGTCAAATTCAGGTACCCGCTCCCCCTCCCTCCCCAAAGGTCCACAGTCTCTGGTCATCCCCTGTACTGTCTGCGGTCTCTGGTCATCCCCTGTACTGTCTGCGGTCTCTGGTCGTCCCCTGTACTATGTCCGCGGTCTCTGGTCGTCCCCTGTACTATGTCCGCGGTCTCTGGTCGTCCCCTGTACTATGTCCGCGGTCTCTGGTCGTCCCCTGTACTATGTCCGCGGTCTCTGGTCGTCCCCTGTACTATGTCCGCGGTCTCTGGTCGTCCCCTGTACTATGTCCGCGGTCTCTGGTCGTCCCCTGTACTATGTCCGCGGTCTCTGGTCGTCCCCTGTACTATGTCCGCGGTCTCTGGTCGTCCCCTGTACTATGTCCGCGGTCTCTGGTCGTCCCCTGTACTATGTCCGCGGTCTCTGGTCGTCCCCTGTACTATGTCCGCGGTCTCTGGTCGTCCCCTGTACTATGTCCGCGGTCTCTGGTCGTCCCCTGTACTATGTCCGCGGTCTCTGGTCGTCCCCTGTACTATGTCCGCGGTCTCTGGTCGTCCCCTGTACTATGTCCGCGGTCTCTGGTCGTCCCCTGTACTATGTCCGCGGTCTCTGGTCGTCCCCTGTACTATGTCCGCGGTCTCTGGTCGTCCCCTGTACTATGTCCGCGGTCTCTGGTCGTCCCCTGTACTATGTCCGCGGTCTGCGGTCGTCCCCTGTACTGTCTGCAGTCCATTGGTTCAGAATATTTTTTTTCTTGTTTTTCTCCTCTAAAACCTAGGTGCGTTTTATGGTCAGGTGCGTCTTATGGAGCGAAAAATACGGTAAATTTATTTAGCTGTTTGCCTTTAAAGTCAAACCCAAAGATTAGAACCAATAACGGTTTTTAGTCTGTTGTGTCAGCTTAACCTATTAGGAGTGGCTCATGCTGATATCCGAAGGAAGAGACCGCAGAGAAAAATGACACTTGGTGCTTTGGATTGAGGCAAGTACACACTATAGCGTGATATGTGTTGTTCATTTTTCATTTGAGAGGTTTACAACCACTAAGCAAAAAAAAAAAAAAAAAAAAGATGACATATATACAGGTCCATGAAAGTGCACTAGACATATGCGAGAGATGTAGAGTGAAAACCTATGTTTAGAGGGTTTGATTTTTCTTGATACTATACTCAGTACTTGAGGCCTCATGCACACAGGATATTTTGATAACTCTTGTAAAACCGAATCGTCCTATTGTCATTTTTTGGCAGAAAATGTACATTTAAAATTTTGTTCTTTAACATAACAAGCAGAATACCACGGGACAAATGTGTTCTTGCATTTACATTCAAGACTTTGAGAAATGACCCAAACATTTCTGATCTAACCGTTCAGTTGTTGCTAGCACAGGCCGTCATGTAGCTGTGTCAGAGTTGTTTATACAGGTCAGCAGCCTTCCTTTATGCAGGAGCATTTTTTTCTAAATTGGATTTGTTCTATAGATACCCTTTTAGGAGCGGAAACTTCAGGACTCAACTGATATCTCAGGAGGAGGTTTGTTTGCATAACCTGGCCCTTTTAGTATTCTTATCTTATATTTCTTGACCTTTTTCTGTAAGTTTCCCTAAAGTGATAGCTGACTGATCCCTTCTCTCCAGAGCTAATGGTTGTGGTTACCATTTTTA